CTTTTTCCCAGTAACACCCTGCTTCAACTACTGGCCAAGGACAGTTTCAGTGTCCTGGGCTCCATATCGAAATCCAATGCTGTCACTTGTCCGGGCACTTCACGGCAGTCAGTGATCTCCCTCGAGTGCGTTGAACATAAGGTCCTTATGGCTATGTGTGTGTTTGTATATCCTATTCCCGTCCCCTGACCCCGGCACCGTGTGTATACCCTGGTCTGGGTCCGAGCTGTGGTCGTGCCGGGGCTTATACAACCACTCAGTGACACAAATAAAAGTAAACATGATAAAACCATTGAAACTTTTTCCATTTTCACTTTTGAGTGTGTTTGTATTTTGCTTCACTTTGGTTTTGTGTTGAAGTACTTCCTGCTGTCAGCCCTGGACCTTTTGCTGGCCCTCTCCCTCTTGGCGCCAAGTCCAACCACACACACACACACACACAGATACTCGTACACCAACACATTCCTGGCTGCATCTGTGTCCAAGTTAATCTCAAGTGCAGCCGAGAGCTAAATATTTACCATTTGCGTTGACTTTGCGTGTCTCTCAGTACACACACCAAGCTCTCCCTCTCTTTCTTTCTCGCTCTCTCTGCCCAATAAACATCCACTGCACCACTACCCGCTCCTCCCCGTCTCAATGCTGACTCTGACCCACTGTTCACCATTTTGTGTTGACTTCGCGCTTATCATCGATGGTGTTGAGGTCTCTCCGTCCAAACAGACAATCAAATGACCCGCACTTTTATTCTCATTCTCTCTCCCTCTGTTATATTTCTCTCTCTTTTATCTCTCTATCTTCTTCACACTCTTTCTCTCTCTCTTTCCTTTTTCTGTGTCCTCCTCTGCCTCGCCTCCTTTGCGTCTTGTTTTTGGCTTAGCTAAAAAACCCAGCAGAAAGTTGTTAAGCTGAAAGCCGGAGCATGCCTTCTTCCGTAACATCTCACCGGGTGTGTTCGTTTTTCCTGATGGCCGCCACGTAGACTAGGAAGAATATCGCACTCCATTAAGATGATCAACTTGTAAACCTGCCTTGTGTAGAAAATTTCGTACAATTTTACAGATTAGGGAGGCCGAAACAAGAATCCAAAAATTCTCGTAATTCTCAATATATAGCATTATTCGCAATCCTTTGGGCTGCAAGGGTATATAAGGCTTCGAAACTCTTCGGTTTTCGCATGTTCAGCCGTTTTTTCCTATTTGGTTCCCTTCCATTCAAAGAGTTGAATTTGTTGTGCATAAATTGTTTATGTTGGAGATCCTGGAACGGGCATTGAAATGTGGGTTTGTCCGATAGGTTTCCTGCCTTTGGAATATGTTCGGGCTTGGACTCGACTTTTCTACGTGGACATACATTTATATGTATGTACATCAAGGAAAAAATTGAATTTATAATTCTTCTTTCAACAATAAGAACAAAAACATAACAAATTCATGGGAAAAAAGTCTACATACAACCTCTATGCTATTGTATTATAGTTTCAAAGTCATCTTAATATTAATACTTATTATATTTTTAATATTTGGTTAGTCCACCATTGGCATCTACATATAACAGCCTGTAGTCGTCGGGGCATCGATGCCACCAAATTTTCCGTTGTTGTGGACGGAACTTCGGCCCAAGCTCGAATAAGGGCGGTTTTGAGACTTTCCCGACTTCTGATGTCATACTTCCGTACCAATCTTTCTAAAATGTCCCAAAGTTGTTCGATTGGGGTAAGATCTGGCGATTGGGGTTGTGAACGAAGCTGTCTTGTGGCATAATACAGCAACCAAACCCGCACAACATGTGCGGTGTGTTTTGAATCATTGTCCTGCTGGAAGATTCAACTGCTTCCCAGGCTCAATGTATCCACCGATGGTTGCAAATTATCTTCCAAAATCTTCTTATACTGGAAGCGATCCATATTCCCTTCCACAAACACCAAGATACCGGCTCCTGACGACGCCATAGCGCCCCAATCCATTACACTACCGCCTGCATGCTTGACGATTGGTATCGTGCTAATACGGTCAAGAGCGGTTTTTACCTTTCTGCAAACTTTGGTACGGACATCACTTTTAAAAATGTTGTATTTACTTTCATCAGTAAATAAAACGCTTTTCCAAAAGTTTGGATCCTTATTTAAGTGCGCTTTGGCGAATTTCAGGTGCAAAATATGATTCTTTTCAGAAATCAATGGTTTCTTTCCTGGAACTCGGCTCTTGAAACTACCCTTGTGTAAAAAACTCCTGACTCCTGATAACACTTATCGATGTGTTCCGCCAATTTTGGTGCAATTATCTTCGTGTTTTTATTTACTTCCTTGAGGATGCTTCACTCGTCGCGACTCGATAGCTTCTTTGGCCTTCCTGATCTCTTCCTATTTTCCGTGGAATTGTTGCTGTTGTTGTTGTTGCGAATTATGGTCTGGACGGTGGATCGACTTAATTTGACTATTTGACTTTGACCGCGATTTCGCCATATAATTTTTTATCATTACGAAGGCTGATAATTAAATTTCGCACAGAAGACTGTACTTCCTTCCTTTTTTCCAAAAAAAAGAGTAACAATAATACCCAATAAGCTTGATAGGCAACGAAGATAGGCGTCATAATAGTCGGGAACTCATTTTTGTTACCTACTATTTCTTGAAATATTAAAGGGATGCCCACGCTGTATGTAGACTTTTTATCGTGAACATTTTATGTTCTCTCCTAAAAACTTTAGTATACATCATTTAAAAAATTTTTTTCTGAAATAATGATAGCTGTAAGTATTTTAAATAATGGCATACCAATTTTTTAATTTTCATTGCGATAACATTGAAATATTGAAAAATGTATGCTGTATGTTGACTGCATGTTTGTATATCTAAAACTCCAATAGCAACCACATGAGGGAGAAAGTGAAGAAAATGTAAATGTCAAATATCGTTTGAGGTCATGTTGACCGTTGACGATCTGCTGCTCCTCTTCTGACGCTGTTATTCATGATTCAATCAGACAAAGCGTTGCGCAGATATCTTTCAAGGCCTGCAGATGGTCATCGCTGGATTGTTGCTTTACCAACCAGAATAGGAACAGATGGAATAAGGGAATTTTAAAACTCAGAAAAAACGAGCGGGGTAAGTGCAATACAATTTAATATCCGATGCTCAGTCAGTGATTTATGTATGTAACCTTTACAATATATTTTATGCGTAAGCGTATGCTATCCCTCACTCCCTCTCTCTCTCCATACCGCTTATTCCACTACATCTGTCTCTGTCTTTTCTCAAACCGACACTAAACAACCGTTATAGCCCGAATACTGCACACTGTGTGGGCGAGAGGGAATGAGTAAGCGCGTGGAATGGATTGCGTAGTCACTGCAATTGAATGTGCTCCTTTTGGCCATAATAAAGATCCGATCTGATCCAGATTCGGCAATCTGCTAGATATGATCACTCCATAGGATTCTGCGTTCGGTTTTCGCGTATTTTTTTTTTAATTCTGGTTGCATTTCACATAGAGGGACGTCCTTTCACAAACTATTGCGTTTTTCACATCAAGTTTACATTTTTCAACATCACTCAACCTTTTCAACTTTTCAGCATTATAAAGTCTGCTTGGCCTGAGGCGTGGCTAGGGGCGTGGCGGTAGCATTGGCCTGGCTTCGAAAGTAAGTTACCTGCTTTGTGGTTGTAGCATTATCATTTGCTCGGCTGGAGCTCAATGAGTGCAGAACGGATGCAGGAGCCAACCAAGGCATGCCGCCGAGGCTATGATTGCTTAAAGCTCAGTTCCCTACAAGGCTTTCCGCGGGATTGGCAACAGGGCAAGCAGTTAAATGTTTCTTTCGGATTTAACGCACTCGGCGATCCAGCGAGGCACCTCATTATGAGCCGGATAGGGATTCAATCGTCTCGTCGATTTCCACCTTCGGAAAAGTACACGTAATGAAGTCTTAATTAAGCTTCGGTCCTGGGATCACTGGAATTGATTATGGCAGTGACATGAGAATGGTAAATTCTGCTGTGCTTTACATGAGTTTCAATGAGTTGGCAGAATGCCAAAACAGCTTGCCGTGCTCCCCCGCTAAAGGGCGTACATAAGTCAATGCTCCCACGCTCCCAGCTATGAATCAGATGGTTCGGGAAGGGAAAAGGGTATGATTTGGGGTTGGTTATGTGACTCTGTAACTCTGCGCTTGGCAATCATTTCCAGAACAGCTTTTGCCTTTCACTTTTAACACATCCCGCAATTAATTTCCGTTTGATTGTTTGCCTCTGTCTGTTCTGTATCCCCCTTCCAGAAGTTGAGTTAATTGCATTGGGGCTTCTGCTCCGCTTAAGCTACGCTTAGCGCTGTTTCTATCTCGCTCTGCGCGATGTATTTACCGCTATAAATAAAGTTTTATAAAATGGAATATGGTTACTGGTGGGCTGAGGAGAGGAGGGAACTGCCATGTCAACAACTTTTGCGGTGGAACTTTTATTCCATTTTTAGCAGGCGATGACAGACATACACCCACACTCATACAGAGAGAGAGAGAAAGTCAGAGAGCTCAGTCTGTGGTACAGTTGTGTAAAGTATTTGGATATCAGTGTTGCCAGTAAAAATCTGTAAAGTTACTAAGAAAAGCATTAGCCCCGCCACCTGGTGGCCGGGTGGAAAGCAACAAGTGTTAGGGGCATCTGTCTTTAATCTGATGTGGTGCTTGAATCAGATGGCCGAAACCACAGCATTAAGCTAGCAATAGCTAGAAAATATAGCCAGCAGATATCGAAAAATAAATGAATCATGTTTCTAAGTGACCATAAATAAATCCTCCTTATTAATAAAAGTGCGGAATGTCGAATGTATATTACTGAGAACAGCTTAAACACTGGCTGGGATACCTGTTCAATTTTTTAAGATCTAGAAGTCATGAAAAGGGAAGTCAGAGACATTTTTTAGTCAAGACAAGGGCATTCATGTCAATTATATTTACAACACAGAATACACAAAACATATACGAACAATACGAGTAATAATTCGAACAATAAACCCGTCACCAGAAACTGAATATCAATACCGGCTTACTGCACCACACACCGCAGTAACCACACAGTATTTGAGGATTCATCGTTCGCGACAGAAAGGAGCACCATCTGCTGAGAGGCAATTGAAATTCAATTGGAACCCCTTGCAAGCAGCTTTTCTATCGAGGTGAGCCAGAAACTGAGTGTGTGTAGCCGAGACTTGATCTCATCTGCCGTTTTTCGCCACTCAGCGCTTTCAGAATGGTTATAAATCTGAATCCAGCAACCCAAATCGATGCCTTTGGGCTCACCGTGGCCAGTGGGAGCGGTAACGGTGAAGGAAGCGGAGACGGAAATGGTAACCATAACTGGAACAATAACGGCAACAATAATGCAAGCCACATATCTGGCATCTCGAACAACATGATGGGCATCTTCAACCATGCCTTGATCGGAGGGGCCATGTACTTGCATGTTATCTATGTCGGTGAGATGATCGACAAGTGGGTAACCCTCGAGGAAGCCATGAACTTTTGCCATGACGCGGTAATTGCATATGTCCAGCTACAGCTGGAACTTTTCCAGAACTTGGCACTGGACTCGTTCGAGCCCATCTAATCGATCATGTGGTTTGCCATTTAACCATTGGCTTGGTTGTGAAAATTCATTGTAATAGTTTTCAGAATGATACAAATCAAAATTATTTGACTCTCAGCGGTCGCTTTCTGTTTTCGGATTAACAAAATTTCTACAAAATATATCGAATCTCGAAAATTCTCTGTAATGCACAAAGTTCAATCACTTCAAGTACAGTATTTTGGAAAGATAAATTCATTAACGGTTGATACACCAAATATAAATGAAGACATTATGAAACAAAATCCAGAAATAAACGTTTAAGCTCGTGTTGAGAAATTAGCTCCTTAGCTTTAATTCAATATTCATTTATATTATACATACATATGTACATATGTACATACCTTTCCCCATTCATATGCTAATCACTGTATTGTCCCGCTGAAGCTCCTATTTTTACGCGCATAGCTGTGTTGTTATTGCTCGTGTCCAAAACATAACTGTAACATTCTCACACGTATAGCCAAAGCCCGCAGCTGCACACGCATACATCGATGTGTGCCTTTTTGCATTGGTCCGTCGCATCGCATGATCGTTCAATTCCCTTTTGCTCGACTACTTTTCGTCGAGTTGAGGTCAGCAGAAAATTCGCGTCACAACCAACCGCCCGAGTGTCGCTGTACCGCCGCATGTCAACCCCCTCTAATCGTACAACCTGTTAACCGCCAATAGTACATAATCACTAGATATATTTAGTAAAACATATTAAAAAATCATACATCATATCTCATATTCTCGCTCGCTCTGTCTCTCTCTAACACACACGTTTCATGGTCCTCTTTGTCTGCACAAGTGTATTTCGTAATTTCGCCGCACCGGCTCCCGTCCCCGCAAAGGACGAAAATCTGTGGCATCCACAATTTTGAAGATATGAGAAAATAAAAATTAGAATCACAGAACGCACTCTTTGTCGTGTCGTTCAATATTAGTGTCGTCTGCCGGAGGTGAACCATACTGATTATGTACCGTGTATAAGTGTAGAGTGGCGGCCTTAGCAGCAACTCACAACGTTCCCCCTCGTTTTATATACATACATACATATATGAAAAGGGCCTCATTTTAACCGCCATAACCACAATCAGCTCGGGCCTTTAACAGAGCTTGTGGAAGCAGAGACAATGAGGGCAGAAGATAAAGCAGCGGTTCCGTATGGTGGAGTGAGCGAGAGGAAAAAATGCTTGCTAACATCGCTTAGTGAAGAAAAGGAGGAGTGGCTAGACGGAATGAAGAGCAGCAGATTTAATATAAGAGGAGTTGCGAATATGATAGGAGAGACGACCAGAAGAACAAACAGTTTTACATACACACTTGATCATAATAATAGGTACGCACATCTAACTTTAACGCATAATAAACTTTAACATAACAGAAAAATATTTTATTCAATATTTTAAACTTAAAATTAGTTCTCAATTATTCTTAAAGTATTTGTTTTCAATAAAATAAACTTTATTATGTAATAATGTTATAAAAGACACGAGATCAATTTGTACTTCAGAGTCAATTTTAGGCTGATCAAAATAATAGGAATACTTCAAGTGTTGTAATGTAAAAATCTTGTCAATTGATTAAATATTTTTTTATAAGCTAAGTTTGTGGGTAATTTGTAAAATCCACTGTATCTCGCCCTGTTTTTGGGGCCCACACCGACGCCGAACCAGGAAAAGCATCCCCACAACATTATGTTGGTATGTTTGACAGTTTTTATACCCGATACTCAAAATGAGTATTGAGGTACATACATATACATATTAGATTTGAGGTAAAAGTGGATGTGTGTAACGTCCAGAAGGAATCGTTTCCGACCCCATAAAGTATATGTATATATTCTTGATCAGCATCAATAGCCGAGTCGATTGAGCCCTGTCTGTCTGTCCGTCCGTCTGTCTGTCCGTCCCCTTCAGCGCCTAATGCTCAAAGACTATAAGAGCTAGAGCAACGATGTTTTAGATCCAGACTTCTGTGATATGTCACTGCTACAAAAATATTTCAAAACTTCGCCCCGCTCACTTCCGCCCCCACAAAGGACGAAAATCTGTGGCATCCACATTTTTAAAGATACGATAAAACAAAAAACGCAGAATCGTAGAGGATGACCATATCTTCTAGAGTGTAAAATCTCAGATCGTATAATTATTATAGCCAGAATCAAGAAAACAATTTCATTCTTTCTCGCTCTGTCGCTCTCTAACACACAGGTTTCATGGTCGGTTTTGCCAATTGCAAAATATGAGTTCAAGGATCTCAGAACCTATAAAAGGCAGAGCAACCAAATTTGGTATCCACACTCCTGTAATATCGGACCTTGACCGTTTTGTGTCCAAATTTCGGCACACCCCCTTCCGCCAACACAAATGACGAAAATCTGTTGCATCCACAATATTGCAGATTCGAGAAAACTAAAATCGTAGAATCATAGATAACGACCATATCTATAAGATTGCTGAATCTGGATCACATCAGTGCGGTGTCCGCAGCAACTCACTACGTTCCCCCTCGTTTTTTATAAAACGTGGATCGAATTCCTTTCTCTCAGGGCGTCGTAAATTCCTGTCGCAATCATTCCCAAATAAATTCATCTTACTTTCGTCGATCCATAAAATGTTTCTCCACGTTTTGTCTCTGTTGCATCCTACCCAATCTTTGTGACCCTTGGCAAACGTTAGCCTCACCCTTATATTTTTGCGGCGCATAAGTGGGATCCTTCTCCCTGGAAGGTTGGCTTGTTGTAGTCGTCTACGGATCGTTGGAGCACTAACTTCTTGGTCAATTTATGCTGCAATAGCCCTTGACGACTTAAATGAGTCCTTTTTGCTCAAGGATACAATGTGGTGGTCAAGTATTTTGCTGGTTTTTTGTGGCCTTCTACGAGTTTTCCTATTTAAAGCATTGTTAACAAAACTATGCGATCGTTTCATAAATTTGGCAATGGCACGAAGAGAATTGCCTTCTTTTTTCAGGATAAGAGCCTATCGGGCTTCTTCCTCTGACCAATGACTCTTTCGACCCATTCTTGTAAGAAAAAAACGAGTTATTTGTTTTTGTTTTGACTATACCCAAATGAAAGGTACCTTTAATGGTCAACAAGGAAAGAATTTCAAAATTTTTTAATTACCTATTATATTGATCAGCCGAAGCCGGAGCTGCCACACATTGATAAACAAAACACACCAAACAAAATTGACTTAAACGTACGATAAAACTAATTATTAATGAAAAGTTTCAAGGTGTACCTATTATTATGATCGTGTGTGTATATTTAAAGAAAATACAGCTATGATCAAAAGCGGGTAGTGAGAATAAGATAGGAATGTGGAATGCAAAATAAAATTACAAAAGTTAAAAAAAGAAGAGAAGCACCTTTCATGCTGAAAACAGGAACAAATTTGAATCGATCCAAACATTATAACAAACGCACCCAATTATAATAATAACATTTACCACAGCTTGTAGCAACCATCAGAAATCGCAGTACAAAGTGAGTGTTCTTTGATTCCTTGATAAGTGGTTTGCAAGAAATATTGTACCTATATTTGTTCAGGTATATCTTCTTTATTGCCGTGTACTACTTTAGTTAATAGCATTTACATTATTTTATCAATATTTATAACGTTCTTTTCTTTAAATCCCTTATTTCTCGAATTTCTAGGCCAGTCGGAGAGTTTATTTTCAAGTCTATTATGCATAATCGAGTTTTAAACCATCGTTAATTTTTACTCTACCCCTCTAGACCCCTGTAGCTCTTGCCTTCATAACAAGGGGTCCTGGCTCTTATATATTTCTGGGAAATGTTATGACCAGGGTAGGGTGGGCGAAGTGTTCCTCGTAACGTCTGAGGATAGTCCGTCCGTCTAATTGGAAATTGTCCGTGTCATATGGTCGTAAATTGGTTGGCTTATCTTGCACGTTGTATTGAAAATAAGGAAAATTAAGGGCCTAAGACTATGGCTGAGTAACAAAATCCCGCCGTAATACTCGTTATCCATTACATAGCTAGCAATCGTTGCTCCTATCTTTTTTTCTATATTTTTCCCATCTCTAATGACAAGTGAAAAATTGAAAGAGATCTCGGTCTGCCTTGCATCTCTGTATTAACGAACAAATCAAACCATACCAAAAGACAGAGAGAGAGAGAGGGATACCAATTACGGCTCTTACGTTTAATTACGTATAATATATATTGTATAGGTTACATAAATCATAATATTATATATAGTATATACTGACTACGTATCGGGCATACTATAAGTAGAGCCGCAACCTTTGCCGTGGCTCGCAACGCACCATCTCGTTCATACCTGTTTTGGCAGTCAGGAAAAAAGTTAAGATACATATTAATCGTTGTTAAAGTCTAGCTAATCGTGTCTATAAATGGCTATTCAAGATCGAGCGTGATTTGCACAGCTCTGCTCCCAGCAACAATTTGCATTGAAGAGTTTTACCTAGTTTTAAAGTTCAAGTGACCAGCTCAAGTGTCCCTCTGACATTTTTCAGGAACATCTAACAGCTAAAGCTTAAGAGGCAGTTTGCCACGCAGCCAAAGGTTTCCCAATGCGTCCATATGCGTAATGCGAGCAGCTCACAGAAATGCTGCTTTGTACGGCTGAGGAATTTCAATTGCAAATTAGTTAAAAGCCAACGTCCACGGCAACGCCTATCCAAAGCTATCGTTGCTCTAGCTTCTGACAAGCCTAACTACCTTTTGGCCGACCTGCCCCACCTTCTTCTCTGCGCGGCGAGACCACGCTCGACCACAGCTGAAGTGCTCCTCGTACATTTGCCTGCCTCTTTCTGTGTGTGGCAAGTTGAATGATTTATGTTGATTGCGTATAATTGCATGTTGTTTCCTTGTCCTCCGCCACCACCCCGTCCCCGGGTGCTCGTCCCCGCCCTATTAAGTCGCACGCCACGTGACAAATCCATGCTTCCATTCGTCCTTACCTCAGACTTTTTGCGGCGCATTGTTGCTGTGGAAGCTAAGATGGGTGACGGGGCATAGGGAGGGTGTTGCTGCCTTTATGACGCTCCATCTGTCAGCAGCTTGTTGTGACTTTGTCATGGGCCAGGAGGGGACAGACACCAGGCTGCTTATCTAATTACGCTCCCAAAAGCACGGAACAGAAAAATTCCAACCAAGTCCGCCGGCGAAGTTGTCTTTTGCGGCACGACGCTTCATTTGTCTAATGCCAACGGCCAGGCGCACAAGTGGTGAGTCATGGTCTGAGGTCAGGCGGTGTGGCGTAGGTCTGGCGTGGGATGGCCAAATGGCAGCTCCGCGCGTA